AAAAAATGGCATGGGCAAAAATGTCTAAAGGGGGTGGTACATAGTAATAAGGGGGGCGGTAAATAGTAACGCCCTTGTTAAAAGTTGGGTTGTGTAGGTGGAGAGAGAAATAATTTTTTATTATTGGATTGGATTGAGTTAGGTTGGGGATAAGATAGTCTTAATATTGATCCAATTTCAGACCCGACTAGTGAGTCATATTAGTTTGACTTTGTATGTTAATTTTTTTTTTAATAAATATTGTTAAGGCTCCGTTTGTTTTGAGGGATTTGAAATCCCTTGATTTCAATTTTCTTTGAATTATAAATTTTTATAATCGCACACTTCTTGAATGGATGTGTTGAAAATATTATAAATAAATTGTCTAGCTCGCACCAATAGTGTTGACTCGTGGTAGTGATGAACCTAAATAATCACGGATGGCGTGGTCGTCAACGGTGATAAATAGTGGATTCCAAATAACTAAGTTTGAGGAGTCATTTCAAATCCTTCAAAATAATGACAAAAAAACTAGCATGACTTTAAAATCCTCCAACTTTCATTATCATCCCAACATACATGAGCATTTCAACATGTAAATTTGAAATTTATGAATTTCAAATCCATCAATAAATTCCTCAAAACAAGCGGAGACTAAGATTTTTTACTTTATATATCAGTACCAAAGGACGATGACGTAAGAGCTTGGCTAGACTTGTGTGTTTCATGAACAACACGGATGAACATGTGAATGTGTCTATGATTGTAACTCAGTTGATCACAATTCACGAGTTGAAGATTATTATTGGCAAATAGTCGATAGTTTTTAAGAGAATTATGTTGAGCATGAGTTGAGGATAACTTGAAGCACAAAATTGGGTTCCATTTTCTTTTTATACCTAAATAATGCGAAAAATAAAGTTCTTCGATATTCGATTTTATGAAAAAAGAAAAACGTCGATTCAAAATCTTTTAAATTAATGCATGACCGTAATAAATTAATATAAACATATTTTTTACCATACAATTGAATAATGTGATTTGACGGGCCAAATGTTTAATTTTGTGACGGCCAAAGATGCAACATGAATTACAATTTCCATGATCAAAATATAACTATGGTTGATAAATGCCATTTTCATATTGGTCACATATCTTTTGAATAAGCATCAAATGTATTTTATCACCACACTAAATAATGCTGCTATACAAGTGATATGAACACTATTTTCATATTAATCACTTATCTTCTTCTATATTGTCACCTGCCTCTTTCATACTAACTAGTTCCTTAAACGATTATTATGCAAATGAAAGATAGTCATTTTCAACGTCATATTCATTACCCTTTTATAGTCTCATCCATTACTTCACAGATGGCCTAGAACTGCTTTGGCCTTACCTTATATTATATTTCTGTACTTGAATCAACCCCAATAAATAGTAGAAAGCCATGGTAGCTTTTAAGGTACTTGGATGTAACAACAACATGGACTTACATTTTCATATCACAAGCATATAACACATGAAAACTCCATATAAGCTTACACCCGAACAACATTCCAATAATTCTTCAAACCAAGAGAAGAAAAACACTAGAAAAATGAATAATATCAAGCATTAGGCATTAATCCTTCGGCAGTTCTTTCTGATTTCTCCCCTGTTTCCGGTCAACGGCGAAATATTCCCCATCTTAACCATAGACTCTGCAAACTGCTGAAAGAAAAGGTCGATATTCTCGGCATATTTCTTCACGAGCTCAAGCGACTGTCGATTCTTAGTGACCAGAATTTGGTCAGAACTCAAAAGGCCCTTATTACTCAACAGATTCTTGAAATAACTGTTGTCGAATTTCGTAGGAGAAGAAGGGTCTAAGAAGAAAAGGTTCTGGTCCCCACCAGATCTCGGGCACCCGGCCCGCAACTTGGAGGCATATGATTGGTCGAGGGTGAAATCGGGTTTCGAGTTTCCTGATTGGTTGTAGAGCCTCTGCCTGAAGCTCACACATCTAGCATTTCCTATGGTGTGGCTTCCTGCAAGAAATTAATTAAGGTTATTATTTTGGTCAAAGATCAAGTATATGATTGTTGATTAATGTTAATAATTTTAAATTCAATCAAAGGATCACAATTAATTTGTCTTTGCTTTTGGCTGACTTTTATTAAGTGTGCCAAAAAAAAAAAAAAAAATATTGTATTATGATGAAACAAGAAAATGTACCAGATAATGCAACAAGATCAACAATGCCCAATCCTTGTAGCTTAAATTTAGTTAAGATGGTCTGAAAGGTGTTGTTTGGAGCAGGAATGTTGTTGTTTGAGCCACTCAAGCTGGCTCCTTTTGAGTCTCTTCTTCCCAGTGGAACCTCCCAACTGGGCCCACCAGCCTAGTAACAATTTAAAAAAAAAAATATGAGCTCCCTTGTAACTTTTTTTTCCTTATTGAATTAGTTAACTTGGAATATAAATTGATTTTAACTCACAAGAACTGTAGAGTCCCTTGCAGCAAGAGCCATGATATCGGCACAAGACACGGTGTGAGGGCATTCTTTCTCAAGTGCCGTTTTGATATCGTCAATCACTTCAAACCCGCGGACTGAGTTTCGGTTAGGATTGGACCTCTTTTCGCTGACTAGGCTACCCGTGCTGTCCAATAGTATCGACGCATCACAGCCCTTCGTGTTATGTATGAAGAAAATAAAAAAAGAACTTCATTAATTAGTCTAAGGAAAAATTTCCATTAAATAGTACTTTTTGCTCCTCACAAGAAGGGAGCTAGTACATTGTTGGGACTGGGACTTCTCCTTAAGGATTTCACTTGTTAGTACTAAATTCATAATGTGCATGTCATCTCTCATTACAAATACATTGCCTAGCTAGCATGAGAATGAATTCGAACAAAATGCATGCATTCTCTTCGTAACATAACTAGCTTTGCATAAATAGAATATGACGAAACGTGCAAAACGATAATCATTTAGGCCGAAAGTAAGGAAATTTGAATTTTGAATAAATTATTACAAAACCTTAACAAAGCAGTCGTGGAAATGGAGCCTAACAAGTGAAGCCGCCATACGAGCTTCTTTAGCAACCGCCTTTGCAACAATGGACTGAACAATGTCACGAGCCCTTGGGCACGAACGGTCATAGAATTGTGGGTATAAGTGGCCTCCATGTGTGTTGTGACAAAAGCAAAAGGGTGCAAAAGCAAGAAGAGTTAAAGCCAAGAACAAGATGAATGTGGACTTAGCCATTTGTGTTTGCTAGCTGCAAGAATATTGCTATGTAACAAAATGTGTTGTGGAGAGAAGGTTTTGGGATGATGAAATTTGACATTAGCTAACAAGTATTTATAGAGATTTTTTTTTTTACTTCAAGCAAATGTGCAAAGTTATGAGGTAGTAAGAAGAAGCCATAGAGGAGTTGGTGGTGGGATTTTTGAGTTGAATAGGTGTACTTTCTTCAACATGATTTGGGAATCTTAAAGCATGTGTTTTTGTTCTTTTGTGCACAAAGTATTGCCTTATATGAGATAATAACTTGTGGTATGCTAACTTTACCTTACAAGTATTATAATCTAGACGGTCTATTAGTTTTGTGTAAAACATTTTTTTTTTCCTACCTATACTATACATATGTATTTTTTGACCTTGCAACCTATAGTATTTTTCGTGGTAAAATACAACATCAACTTCATGATAAACATTTATAATTTGCAGTCTCGCTTACATCTTGACCATACACGTGTACATTTTTGCCGATGATCCCATAATCAAGACGTATGTAAGATTGCAAATTATGAATGTTAAAATAACTCAGGTTGCATTGTACCAAAACAAAATATTATAAGTTGCAAAGTTTAGTAACGTGTATGTTACCCGTTAATTTTTGACAAAAAAGAAAAAAAGAAAAAGAAAAAAAAAAGAAAAAGGGGAAAAAAGTTCAAAAAAATAAATTAACTGATTTGGATGTGTTTGGATTGACATTTACACACATTATCAATTTCTTATGCTCAACAATCTTTTTTATTATGATGATACAAATTAGTGTATCTATATAGTGAAATTTTACCCACTTTCAATCATCTTGTAGCAACTTTTGTAGATCTTTTGTTGTGTGATGGTTATAATTTGACATAAATACCAGTACAAAAAATCTTAGTTTATGTAAATTTGATGTATTCAAGACGCACATGATGTTGCAAATTATGAATTTTCGTAAACTTTCAAGTTAAAAAAGCCATAAAAACGCGAGTTTGCGTATTTTGTTTCAGCAACTTACAATAGCTGATGATAGATTGATAGTATGGTTTGTTAAGATACTACTATGTGGAGAAAAGACCAAGTCCATGGTCGAAAAGTGAGATAAAAGGTACGCAATAATAGTTGGATCAGGTCCTCATGAGTACCTGCTCTGTTGACAAAATGGAGTAGTTTCAAATAGTTTATGGTCTAGAAATGTGCATTTTAACTACTACAGCTGCAGATAAAATGGCATATGTGAAGGCAGGTATATTCATTCAGTGGAAAAGAAAATAATTTTGTAGTTTGTTTGATTTGGTGGAGAAAAAGTGTTGAATTTCGTTGATTACGTTAATAATTTCTATTGCGTAACTTAGTTTAGACTGTACATTTGAAGAACGAATACGCCACTGTCAACAAAATAGGGGTTATGGGCGTCTAATTAGTGTTAGGCGGCATCCAATTGTCCCGATTTTCGTGTAGAGAGTCCTAACATATACGGTAAATAATTTTTTTCAACATGTACAATATGTGTATTTGTGATTTTCAATCTTAAGTATTTTTTGTTGTAAATTGCAGCCTGAACTACATATATATTCATTATTTGCACGCTCGCCCACATCTTGACCATACACGTGTCCTTTTTTGCGGATGATCGGATGATCAAAAAATAGGCCAGCATGCAAATAATTATATATATGTAGTTCAGGTTGCATTTTACGAAAAAAAATAATTAAAGTTGAAAATCTCAAAAACACGTATAGTACAGGTTAAAAAAAATTATTTACCCTAACATATGCGGTCTAGATGGTCCTTAACCATAACGTAAAATTATTTACCCTAACATATGCGGTCTAGATGGTCCTTAACCATAACGTCCTCGCATTGCTAAGCGCTCGTATATTTTTTTTTTATTCTTTTAATTTATTTTCGACATATAAGAAAATAAGTTGATTTTTTATATGCATAAAATATGAAATATAACAAAACTTAAAAAAAAATATTAACCATGTTAAATTAATACAATTCTTATAAATATATTATATTATGTACCGTATTTTATTTTGACATAGTTATCAATGTTTCACCTAATATATTTTGTATATTATTTATAATATTATTAGATATATAACTATATTTATAATTTTATTGTAAAACCTAGGTCCCTAGATGTTAGGCACNTTCTTTCACTACCTCTCCATGCCCTTTGAGTAAAATTTCACTTTATATAACCATCTTCCGAAGCTTTTCACTAGAGAGTGAGGCAATCCAGCTCGATGAATCACCCATTCCCTCTCAATCTCAAGGTACCAAGAATAAAGAATGAAAAATAGGAAGCTTGAAGGTGACTGTAGAAGTACCCTCTTTCTGAATAATAGTATAGATAAACATTAAGTAGATATTTACATATGAAATATGTAAAAGAATACTTTGTAAACTGACCGAATTTGAAGGAGTGCATGTTGAGCAAAACTAAGGGAGGGATAAAAAAGAGGGCGGTTTTGCTATGGAGCCATCTGATGGCTCGACTTATAGAGTCATCCATAGTTATTCACAAATGGTGTATTAACACCTGTCCTACATTAATACACATTAGACACGTGTCAATATATAAAGTTATGGATGGCTCCATAAGGGAGCCATCTGATGGCTTGATAGAATTTTTGCACACAGCAAGAGTGATTAAAGTGATATATATCGTGTTAAGTACAACACATACAAGAAGCAAACTTACTGCACATATCAAGCAACAAATCACAGAGAACCAGAAGATCAATTGAGAGATCACATGTAATTTCAAAAGCCTAAATATATAGCATTATTCATGCTCACCCACTCATAGGCCATAGCCAAAAATTATAAGGTAAAGAACAAATTAAGCACATCTGAGCTGTTTCAACCAGCTCATGCAAATGGCCTATCCAAACAACAACAAGATGCAGTTGCAACTATGAGCTCTAATTGAACCTGGATGATTATAAGCCTCTTCAAAAAAAAAGAGAAAAGAAAAAAAAAAAAAAAAACTTCAAAATCTGTATAGTCCGGAAGATAACTTTAAGCAGGCGAGTTAAGTAAATTATGAGGATTGTGCATGTGCATCAAATGGAGCCATATGTTCTTTCACTAGCTCTCCATGTTCTTTGAGTAGAATTTGGTTGCTGATCCCACGAAGTTTGATTTGCAAAAGGATTATTAGCATCATCTGGGCGTGTATAGCCGCCTTGCAAACCTCCACTTGCCTGCATGTTTTCAGGTTAATATGAAGTAATAAAACCAATCATTCATATAAATGAGTTTTAGCTTATTGTTATTCAAAAGGAAAGGGAAGACAGACAGGCAATCAGTTCTCTTTCAGAATTAAACACACATTTGCGGTTAACTGAGTTCAAATACCGCCACCGAGGATGCAATTTGTAAAATGTGAACAAATATCAAAGGTGCTTGTACTCTTGTAAGATAGCTAAACTCTGTTTTGTGTGATTTGAAACAACCTCGAGAGTATTTTTTTTATAGTTAATCACATTATTAGAGATTGCCTAGTTTACCACAAATAAACTGTACTTACAGTTTCCAAACATGCCGATAATATTGCCATCCCTGGTACAGCATCAAGCCCTCGCTGCAAGTGTTATGCTCAAAATTAAGATCAGCTAAACAACATCCTACAAATACAAAGAACTGTACGAAAAAAGATCATACATTTAAGACAAAAAATTAACCTACCAGGTTTGTCACTCTTGTCCTATAAATAAACCCTCCAATGCATAACAGTGTGAAGGCTACAATTGATCTGTTTCACAAAAGCAACACAAAGCAGCTTAACAACCAATGATATTTAATTTCTGAAGAAGCTAAGAAATGTGCAAGCGAGTTATCACAAAAGGTTCCTTCAAATGCAATAACACTAGGTACAACTTATAACGCAATGAAATTTCAAGAATAAATTGACATACATGCAAGATATGATTCCAAATATGGCCCAACCTCTAGTAGCTTCGCCACGTTCACCTTGGCTGTGTTCTATATAAGTTATGAGGTAAAATAGAAATAAAAGTAAGAAGGCAACAGTTATGTTTAACAAGCCATAAAGAATCATAAGCAGTAGCAGAAGCTGAGTTAACAAGCCCTATAATAGTTAGTATGGCCGAAAATATCCAAATAGCATATCTCTTTCCATCATACTAATCAGGTATAACAACCAACTTACCCCAGACGTTTAGGCCAATTATTAAAAATACATTTATCTGGTAAACTTACACGTACATCCCAGAAATTCATGCCCATTGTTCAAGTGCCACCTCAAGGTAAGGGGATTTGTTAAGCAAATTTAACCTGAAGGGGTGTTTAAAGTACATTCATTTATTTATTCTTTTTTTTTTATTTTATTTTTTTGCCGGGAGTGGGGGTTGCAAAATCTAACCAAACGGTTTTTGCAAAATCTAACCAAACGGTTTTTTACTGAGAAAGTGGAAATGAGGAGAAAGTAAATTAATGCTCACCACACATCTTTGCAAGAGTGAACTGAATTGGGTCATAATTCTCCACTGGAATGGTAATTTCAACTTCATAAGGTGTAGAACGAGTCTTTTCACCTAAAGCATTTAGCAAAGTTAGAACAAAGAGTGGGCCCACTTTGTAGTCAGCCAAATTTAATGGAATTATGAGGAATTTTACATCTCCAGTCCACAAGTATCATAGTGGGAGACAAGGTAGTTGGTGGCCTGCCATCTGCTCCAGAACCAGACAACTGAACAACCAATCCTTGTTCCGGAGAAGTCTGAAAGAAAACGATGTGTCCGAACAAAAAGAATAAGAAAATTATAACTCGATAAATTTAAATCACTTGGCCAAATAGATAAGGATATAAATAACCTTGACCGTAGGTTTTTGAACTAAATTTGAAACGGAAGCAACTGCAGTTAAGTATAGGGTCACATCCCTTTGCTCAGTTCTGAAGCTGCATAAAATTGAGTTCAGATCGCCATGAAAGTCATAGTATAACGTGATATAGTACCTAAAAAGATTCATTTTCAGAGGGGAAAAAAAAAGTAAGACCACAGACATGTCACTCCATAATAAAAAAGTGTATTTGATCTTGACAAATGACATCTGAGTTACATGGGGGGTGTTAGGGGGTTAAGATTTGAGCTATAAAGATATTTTTGAAGAACAATCTCAACCTCGTTGAACACAACTCTGAAGCGAAAACTGCAAATGAAGCAAAAAAGTGAGAAAAAATAAGACCAGTACCTAAATTCATCATAAAGCTTCTCATAACCCAACTGAGTCATACCATTATAGACCTACAACCAAAAAATGTTTTTTTGTAAATTTGACCTATCACATGATTGATAGGTTAAGTAGAAAATATTTCAGAATAGAGAGCTACTCTACAATTTCCCACGAGCGAGGATGAAAGCCAACTGTGAAGCCCTCAAATACCCGCAGACCTGGTTTCACGCAGGGAATGGCTAGATCGATGAGCACTCTGCCCAAGGAGTACAAAACCCCAAATAATAAGAAGTTGAAAAAATAAATTGAAGTTTTATGAAAGCTATTCAGAGAGAATCTACATTTGCTAGATGGTGGAAGCATCTCAAAAGGCAGGTTTAAGCAAATTATATTTTCTCCTAATTTTGTAACAAACTTTCTCTTGAATGTCATTTCAGAAGCTGAACCAGAGATCCAGATCTATTGTTTATCATTTATTTGTGTTCTAGAATCAGTTTATGAAATAAAATTGAATTTTACCCTATTTGCTGCTCCACCAAAGAGACATAAAGTACGTTCTAGTTCCGATCAGCACAGAAATGACATTCTTATTTCTGTCATCAGATAATTTTCCACACATTTGTTAATTTTTCAGCATGCATATCGAAAGATAAATTTGAAAATTCCCTTTCATGTAATAATAGTTCTTTTAACGCACTGGATATGCATCACTTGGAATATATTTGTCACCATTTTATTTAGGCTTCAATTGACCTTGTGAAAGACAAAATATACAGCATAACAGCAAGAACTCAAATGAAAACCTGCATGAAGATTCATAGGTAACTTTGCAGATGCACCCCATACCACCTAAGGAAAGCACATATACATATATTAGGCTATTAGCAATACAAATATGTATCAAGAACAGTACTGGAGATGTATATAAAAGCTAGTACATGAGAAAGTTTCAACTGCATGTATCACGACCTAAACAAAAAATAAAAAGAAAAGAGATGTAATATATAGTGAAAGCAGGAGGTCAACCCGCACAAACAGTAGCAATTTAACTCTAAGAGAAGCTCCAACGACCTTGATTGGTTTTAATTTTTCAGGATTCATATGATAGACAAGATTCATCTACTAACAGTACCATTACAAGTGCTTTGCAGGGATTTTAGAAGGAGTGCAGGAGATGAAGATGCTTAGATGTCTTTACAACATAGGTGATAAAATCCAGTCACTCATATTCAACAGGACTGAAAATAAACATTGTTTACTTTGCTAAATAATGTAGCTCCAAGTCTTAGAAATCCAAGTCTTACAAACAGCTTTTCATCATGAACAGTGGAACCAAAATCTTTGCTAAATAATGTAGCTCCTCAAGTCCCTTACTGACTCAATTGATGGTCCTTAACACAATGCAGAACATGTGTGATGGTTAACTTATCAAAAATACTTTAAAGATAGTTTAAACATGCAGGAAAGAAATAACATTGTGAAATCATAGACGCATACTTGGTGGTTCAAAATTAAAAAATACAGAATAATGGGAAAAAGACATTACTTTATATAGCCTGTGCACAAAGCATCGCAAGTTATGTCAGAAAGCAACATACTCAGTATCCTCAGAATACTTCACTAACAGTCACATTACTATTGTTATCAATTCAATGACTTTGTTTGTCAGCATAAAGGAAGGTACTACTTCTACATCGTAGCCTGTATGGAGGTTAAGTCTCTTGATATTGGCAAGCTTGAATCAAAACCAAAGAAAAATTTTCTGCAACATTATTTCTGTAACTATTCGATATGTGATACTAAAAGATACTTCTCTGGTAGTTAACTTTGAAACCATTACAGATGATTGAAAGATTTTCCTATAACTATTTTTCTTCCCCTGCCTATGGATCTAGATTGATCTACTAACCAAAACCATTTATATTTTATCTTACAGAAAATACTGATAGTGGTGTGTGCTTTGTTTGGTTGTTCGAACTTATAATTATCAAGGATTGACTTGTCACAATATCTTAATCAACAATATGTACAAGGGTCATACAAAATTACTTTGCAGTTTGGGAGAACATAATTTGTTCGGAAACAAGAAGCAAATATAATATTAATTTCATCCTATTAGCTTCTTTAGAAAGCAATTCTATAAAGAAAAAAAAGACACAATAGGACACAAAGGGAATATTAATCTTCACCCTAATAGCTCTTTTAGAAAGAAAATTGCAAGAAAATGAAAACCCATTCAAAGAACACAGCTATATTGGAGATGAAATAATCTTTAAAATTCTGATGACATAGCTTATCAGACTGAAATAAATTCACTCTAAACAGATGCATTCCTTTCTAAGAATTACATAATGAAGTTTCACATACCTACACATTGTCCATTTGGGCAATTTCCACAAATGATGTTTAGCTGAAAATAGGGAAACAAACGGCCTCAGTTACATATAATACAGTGAACTGCAAGTTTAGCTGCAAGAGTTCACTCTACATTTCCACAAGAAAATATGTAAAGCAAGAAAAAGTAGTAGATAAGAGATAAAAATTTGTATAGCCGTCATTAATCTGACCTGAGCTGTGCGCCCCAATTTATCAAAAGTTTTTTCACACTTCATTAGGTCACCACTATAATATTCCTGGAAATGCCCAATGACAAAGTTTAGAAAGAGCAGATTTTCTAGAAGTAAACAAGGTCTTCTAGAAGGAAAGTTAGTCATGGAAGTCAACATTCATCAGAAAAAATAAAATAAAAAAGACACAAGACACAATGTGGATTTCTATAGCAGTAATATGAACATACAAACTTCAATTCCAAGGGGATCTCACAACTGTTGTCGCTATCAGTGTAAAGTTTTTGCTAGAGAAAGCATGACATTGTTTTGTTAGTTACAATATCAGTCTTCGCATTGATAACTAATTGGAACAGAAGAAAATAACAGAACGACATAAGGTAACAAAGGTAATTCATTGCCTTGGTGCAACATCAAAACAACTTAAACAAGGCAATGCACACATCCAAATCCAATCAGGTAATCTAGATAATCAAAATTGCTGAAAATAACAGTAAGGTTTGTCTGAGGAGTGTAAGATCTCTACAGCAGATAACTAAAGCATGGCAGGGTGGTGGAGAAATCAGTCATTAAATGGACATGTACTATAAAGTGCTAACTATAGCTGAATGTAGTTTTTTAAGATACACCCCGACCAATGATTCGCTTGAAATGCATCCCAACCAATGGAATCAGGAGGACCCCACCCCCAACTTCTTCAAATTCCAAATCTGCAATAACTCATGACTGATTAAGATAATTATTCATTTATTTTAGTTCAAGATTTAAGATTTCATACTGTTCCCAAGTCGGTCTACTGCGGCAGTCTTAGCAGTTACACCAATATAATATTAGACAAGGGAAGCTCTTAAGCCATAAATCCAAAGCCCATTCTAAATCTAAGATCCGCAAAACAATTGAAAGGAAAAGGAAAAAAAAGTATTGGTTGAAACTTGAAACAGGGCACTGACAATGATGATAAAACAGTTAAAGCAAATATATCATGCGTGCATATAATATAATTATCTTGTTCTTTATATTAAAAGTAACTCAATCTCTATCTCTCAATCATTTTAGAATTTTGAGAGCTGACACAAGGAAATGGTATCCACAAACCTATCGGCTTATAACCACTTTGCCTTAAGGAACAAAAATGAAATATGTGACTGAATCAAACTTACCTGCACAAAGTCGGCATGTCCAGAACCGGCAGTAAAATAATTGAATTTATCAAATCTTCCAAAATCCACATATCCCTATTAGTACAGGAACACATCATTAGCATCAAAGCATATTATCAAGATGACTTAACCTTACAGCCCACTGACCTGATGGAAGTCAAAACAATTTTTTCACAAAAACAAGAATAGTTATATATTAACTACCGGTTGGGATCTCGTCTCGACATCTTTACAGAACCTCACCACCAGATCAGGGTTCTGCATACATTAGATACTTAGCAAATGACCCAAATATCTCAGAAGAATATAACCACAAAAGAAACTTACATAAGCGTATTCAAGATTTCTTTATCTTGAAGAAAATATTACCTTATCGTCATCATACTCAAAAATTTGTCCGACCAAATCACTCTGAGTGAAGACATTAGAGGAAACAATTCAAAATTGAGTAGAGGGAAAACAACACCGTTATGTTTCTCTGACCATCAAACTCAGCCTTAAGACACACAAATGGGCTCTCTTTAGAACCACACTCGGAGTTGTTTATAAGAATATCTGACGACTACAAGAAACTTTTTTCAGAAAACCCAAGAGCTACAGAATTAAGATAATGAATGCCACAATCAACAAATTTTTCACCCTACTCCCTTATTTTAGCTAGCCAAAAAACGAAAAGGCAGGATCTTGTTTGTGTATAACTGCTGGGAACATATACATCATAATGAGGATACAAAATCATGGATGTGACTGGTATTATCGACGGCATAACAACTTGTACTTGGCACAGCCACTGAACCAGCTCCAAATGCGCCAAAAACAGCAGCTGAAAATAAAGAAAAAATCATTAATTACATAAAATAGCATGAAAACTAACTGAATCACCCAATCATTTACCTGAAATTACAGCGACAATTAAATCATGCATCGCATCAGCACAAAATCCTCTACAAGCCAAAATCAAGATAAGCTCATATACACGTCGAATTTTGTTTACCCTGCCAACAAATCCATGTTACATATGCAGATAAACGAAATTCACTTGAGATACAATTAATTTTCAATCAATATTATAAAAAAAAAAAAAAAAAAAAAANAAAAAAAAAAAAAAAAAAAAATAGAGTAAATTACTCAGTAAAATAGTAGCTAGCCAAGACGATGGTAGCAGCCAGACTACGACATCTAAATAAAATGTGTTTGAGGATGAACGTGAAATTTGAGCAACAATCATTTGTATGGGCTTTGGGCCTTTATGTATGACTGCAGGCCAGCCCCTATTTTCACACATCGGGTTTAACAACTTGAATTAGGTCCAGACCGTTTATTTTGATCTATTTGAATGGGTTTTGGGCCTTTATGTATGACTACAGGCCAGCCCGTACTTTTGTACAGCTTGGTTCAGGTCTAGCCCGTTTATTTTAGTTTAAATTTTTATTCATGTACATGTTTATTACATTTTTTAATTTTTTTTTTAATTATGGCATTCAAAATTATACATAAAATCATTCATAAATGGATTCTAAACCAAAAGGCAGTGAAAATTACAAATTAATTATGTAAATAAATCACAAATCAACCATCCATTCATTAACTGTGAAAATTATAGAATAATAGTAATTAGAAATAAAAACTTTAAATATAAAAGAACTTATAGATGAATGGTTATTTATTTTCTTATTTTATTTATTATTATGATTATGCAATTAGGAAGTCGAATAAAAGTTAATTTGACTCTAACTCAAAATTACTTTTCCCTTCATGGGTTTGGGAGCTACTAGCAATTCATATTACAAGCATTCTAATGACGGCAAAAAAAATTGTATACACCAACACCATGCATTTATTTTATATGACCCATGCACATTAATTTTTTTATTATTTCTTCCCCTTATATTTTTATATGAATGCTTGAAAAAATAGTATACAATAAATAATGAATTAAAAAGTATTTATGTTATATTTTAAACTAAAAATGTCTTTCTATACTAATACGGTGCTTGAAAGAATGAATATACAATAAATAATGAATTAAAAATAAATTGCAACCTCACCCCCATATGTTTGCTTAATTATATAACAGGTAAAAAAATCTAAGAAAATTATAAATTCTTATCGTGAATGAATAATTTCTAATTGTGAATGATGTGATTATATTAATTTGTAAAAGTTTATGTGGTTTATTAGATATCAAATTTGTTATCGTAAAAATTTATTATATATATACACACATGATAGTAAATTTAATCTAACAAATGTGAGGGTATTTCAATAATATTGTCAAAAATCGTTCATATGAACACTATACATGATATAACTAACAAAAATATTATAAGAAAATATTTGTACTAAATTTATATAAAATGACCTTTCTTATATAAAAAATAAAGAGAAGTGTCGAACTAGTGATTAAAGTTTAAAAACAGTACTGGAAATAAATATGTCATAAACCATGATTTTTTGTTCTTATTTCAAAATTATTCATTTATTTATTTTTATATTTACAAATTATTACTTTATAATTAAATTTATTTTATATTTTTCTTATTGGATTTAAAATAATAGTATGCTCTAATTTGTAAAGTTGTAAAATGTGTGGATTATATTGACAAATTATAATAGTCGGTGTGAAATGGAATATTTCTAGAGTATTAATTGAGTTTGGAATAAATTTTCGTGACTCTAAAATGGGTTTGAGAAACAATTGCTCCAAGATGAATTTGAGAATGAGTTTTTCAGTTTAATATATTGGGTAGTAATGTTCATCATGATCGAGGATCATTATTTGCTATTAATTGTGAATATTGAAATGTAAACCTAATCGTGTCTGAGAATCGATTTTGGTTGACATAACTGGTAGAAGTGTTGTCCTTCAGCTTTATTTATCATCATTCATATTATAGTTGACAGCATATTTTAACATCCTAATATCGCAATGCGTGCGGCAAAATAGACCCATTAATTATAGGCTTAATAGCGGAAAAATACACGACCTTTACTTGATTGGCCATTTAATCACGACTTTCAAACCTTGGCAAGTAAATACACAACCTTTAAATTTTTGGCAACTTGATACACGGATTTAACGTCCGTTAACGAAAAGCTGACGGGGCAGACGGAAAGCTGACGGGACATTTTTCTTTAATGGCCACGTCACCGAAAAGCGTGACTCAGTAGGAGCCAAGTCATCACGTGGAAATGTAGCAAAAACACTGCAAGGAGAGGGTTCGAACCTGCAACCCCTTACCTAGAAGGGGTGTGTGTGTGCCACTTGGTCTACAACAATTTATGTTAGATATTTGAATTCACTTATATATATACTAACTTCATTTTTCACATATATATGTACATATATATATATATATATATATATATATAGTAAATAATATTTACTAAATAAATATTAAATATTCGTTATATTAAATAAATACTATTTCTATATTTTTAAATTTATATTTAATATTTAATAATATATTGAATATTTAATAATATATTAAATAAATAGTAAAAATTATTTAATTAAATAAATATTATTTGTGTATTATTAAATAAGTATTTTTAATATTAAATTATATATTAAATATTTAATAATATTTTAAATATACTTATTAAATATTTAATAATATAATTAGTAAATATTATTTACTAAATGTTTAGTAATATATTTAATATATTTATTTAATAAATATACTAAATAAATTTTAATTTAGTTAATATATTAAATATATTTATTAAATAATATAAATAATATTAAACATTTATTTCGTATATTTATTTAGTAAATATTTATTTGATATATTTATTTATATAATATATATTTAATGTATATTATATATATATATTACATAAAATATTAAATATTTATCATAATATATATTACATAATATATATTTAAATATTTAATAATATATTAAATAATATATTAAAAATTCATAGTATATTAAATATATTTATAAAATAATTAATAATATTTTAAATATATTTACTAAATAAATATATTTACATAATATTATAAATATATTTATTTAATAAATATCAAATGTATTTATCAAAGAATATATATAATATTAAATATTTATTTAATATATTTTTTTATAATATATATTGAATATATGTTTAATAATATATTACATAAATATTAAATATTTAACATAATATATATTTAAATACTTTATAATATATTAAAAATATATTAAATATTTAACATAATATATATTAAATATATAATAACATATTTAATATATTAAATATTTATAATATATTTAGCAAATATTATTTACAATATATTTAATAATATAATAAATATATTTATTGAATAATATATTATATAAATATTTACTAAATATATTTATTTAGTAAATATTTATATAATATATTTATTTATATAATACATATTTAAAAAGTATTTAATATATATATATATATATATCATAAAATGATGTTTGTATATGAATAAGTAAAGCCAAATAATTAACATAAATCATGTTAGACCAAGTGGCATATAAGCACATTTTATATGCTAGTGGTACCAGGTTCAAACCTCCTCTTTGCAATATTTTGCTACATTTCCACGTAAGTGCTGCTGAGTCAAGCTTTTTGATGACGTGGCCGTTAAAAAAATGCCCCGTCAGCTTTCCGTTGACGGACGTTATGTCCGTGTATCATGTTGCCAAAAATGTAAAGGTTGTGTATTTACTTGACAAGGTTTGAAAGTCATGATTAAATGGCCAATCAAGTAAAGGTCGTGTATTTTTCCGCTATTAAGCCTTAATTATAAATGTACTCCACCTGCTCAATACCACCTTCAGTTTAAATTTTTGGCTATACTTTATTCAGTACACCCAAACTTATCGAATTTTCCACCAACTTATTCTTCGTTTACTTGATTCCCTTTTTTTTACATATATAATACATATTCCAGCATATAGTTAGAAAATAAAAGGAGAAAAACTGAAAAGTTTTCCTGCAATGCAGTGGTTCATCAGTTCA